TCCTAATTCTAGGAAGATAGGTTGACACAAATTCATGAATAAAATGTCAAGTAATCTTATCATTGATGCACTTTTATTCAATTTAATGCAGTCATATTGTGAACATTTCAGCTCATTAGGAAAGTGGGGATGACCTCTAGGGGTTCATAACCTTTATACCATTAAATTTACATAACATAATAACACAAGAAACAAAATTATATATAGTGAAATGGAAAAAGTTTCCTACTATTTAGGAGTCACATGATCATTTGTCATTACAGGGACAGGGAAGTGGATTGGGAGATCCCCCTCTCAACACCCCCCCCCCTTGGAATTTGCAGGACTATAATATATACTGGAGGAAATAAAAATGACTTTGGATGTCCTAAGTGTCCCTCCACCCTAGAAAACAGACCCAACCATAACTTCTTTTTTTTTTTTTTGCTTCTCGGGAAATTCTGGTCTAGCCTGGTCCCCTGTCTCATCCTTGCCAAGGCAGGAGAGCCAGGTGGATTCCATTGTACTCCACCTGGCCCTAGTGACGCGGAGTATATAAAGCAAAACAGGGACAGGGAACCAGGCTAATTCTGGTCTGGAACCCCCCCCCCTCTCCCCCACCTCCCTCCCAGAAAAAAAATTCTGATAACGTTGATAACGGGGGATAACTCTTCAGATTGTGAAATTCGTCTATTGTAAGTTTAAAGGATCAAAGGTCATCCGATGCTGAACCTAACCGTTTGCATTTCAGACTATTTTACCCAAATCTATACCAAAACTTGTACTTACCAATTGTCATTATTTAGGCACTGTTATCTTCATGAAATATAATCCAGTTAAAACACAAAATAAAATAATTCCTACTGACATATATGCAATGATGCACACCAGTAGCCTACTGCACGTGCAGTGAAATCTAAAATGATAATGCCAGTGGTAAAACTAGTACTTAAGGTAGTTCTATACTCGGCACTAAATGGGCTCAATCTTTAAAAATCTGCTTTTATAAGATAGACATACATCCCAGCAATGGATAGACACAAGAAAAAGTATATGTCAACATGTTCACTTTTCCGCTATAGCCTATCGGAGTATATACCCCGAAATGTAAAATACTGAAATTTTACCTATCCTAGATTTTGTTGTATATAAATTAATTTAAGTCTAAATATTCAACTTTAATACCCAAAATAGAGTAGAAACATGTTATTAAACAATAAAATATCATTGTTTTGCATGAATTATTATAAATAGATGCACTTTGTTAGGCTATTGTATCAAAATTTAATGTGAGAAAATATGCTTCACAGGACAATCTCGGTCATTAAAAAAAATTATGGACTCAAACTTCGTAAATTTGCATTATTTTTACTAAATTATATTTAAGAAAAATGATAAGCTTAAAAAAATTATATGTTGACGCATTACTTTTCGTGGTATGAGCTCTACACTAAAGGGACCCCCCCCTATTTTCTTTCATCCAGAAGTAATATATTGTCACATATTTCTGTAATACTGTTAATGTTTGAGTGTATACTTGTATTAACAAGGTTGTACATATTTTAAATCAATAATTATACACACCCAAAACCTATTGTACCTAAAATTTATCTTTTTTTACTCAAAAAAAAAATAAAAATGAAAAAAAAAATAAATAAAACACACTTGTCTTTAAATTGGAGACGATGAAAATGAAAGTAATTCACTGATTCTCAGAAACTGGATGATTTTGTTACAGAAAATAACGAAGTGTGCTGCAAGTGAATCAACTTTTGTCAAATACTTATTCAAAAGATAATTTTGCATTGGGATTCGTGGGTAAGCAGGTTGGGGGAGGGGGGTATGTGTTTTATGCAATAATTATTATTCAAAGTAAATTTTGTAATGTTTGATTAGTAAAATCCATAAATTGTCTAAGTCAAAACGTAGTCATTACTTTTCTTCCGAATTATCACTATTAGCTTCAACTTGGCCGCCGACAATAGTCTTCTCGATACTCGATAGTTTGATACATGTTCTGATGTAGCATGTATATGGTCCGTGTTTTCGGCGCGGCATATAAAACATGCATCATTCACAGGAATATCGTTTTATTACATAATTATTTCTGTCAACCGAAAGTTGTTTCCAGCCTTCTCTTTTTAATTAATTTATCCTTAAACTGTAGAATATGTGTTTGTTGACGCGACCGACTTCGAGCAAAATCGTTACGAGATATTTAAAACGCTAAGTAAAAGCAGGGACCTATATACTAAGTATATAGGTCCCTGGTAAAAGTCAAACCAATATAGTTAAAAAATCTCATCTCGGAAAAAGGAAGCGCGGTTCCGGTTTTACTCTTCGTAAATGACGTAGTGCGAGTAAAGACCTACTTTAAATTTGATTGGATTGACTTGAAAAGTGTGATGCTTTATTACATGTAAATGCCAAATCGTTATTTATCAGACATGTTTTAAGATTGGTGATTTCCAAACACAACAAACATGGTGTGTTTGTGTGTGTCATTGAAGGCATATGGTCCACAGTATGTGACGCAAACTGGGATGATATGACAGCTTTCAACAGTTTCTGCAAACAAATAGGACTCGGAAAGTCAGTTTCATATTTTTTTCACAAAAACGCTTTAGCAATATCATTTATTTGTTGTTAAGCATAGGAAAATATTTTATATTTGTTCCTCCCCCCCCCCCTTATAGATAATATTGCATCATTAAGAATTCTGAATTTGGGAAAGGAATAAAGAATATGAAATACCTATCCATGGAGGCCCAGGTTAATTGTAGGGGAGATGAAAAGGATTTGTTATATATGTCTTTGACCATAAAGCTACAGCTCTTAATGCACCACTCCGATGACGCACTTCTGGGGCGGTGTGCATCGGTCAAGTTAACCTTTCCCTTTTAAACTTATTATCTTCTTTTTTTATTATTTTAAGTCATTTAAGAAAGACGATTAAAATTATTTGTTAGATTGCATAAAATTCAAATCAAGTTTATTGCCTGTAGAGATATATAAATGGCTGAGAGATGGACAAAATATACATTTTGATACAGAATGTGACCAAAATGGGAATGAAAGGTAGTTGATTGAAATGCTAGAAAATGGAGAAATTCTGACGGTGGCAAAAAAATATTGCGCCGTAAATTGCACCTTTTTTGCATATGGGGATCTGTAGCATTATGGTCAAAGACAAATATATAAAACCATAACGCTGCAGATCTGCAGCTACATGGTCACAAATATTTTCTTCAATTTGAGTTTGTATTATGTAAATATTGAATTATATTGACTTTTTCCATGGTAAAGCCCAATATGAAGAAGTGTGCATTTAAAAACACCTTATCTTTATAATTGATGACAGGAATAGTAAATTTTATTTGTTGTGCTCCATGTTCCAAAAGTAATGAAATTGTTTCAAAATATTGCGCAGCGCATGCATGGTGTAAAGCAGAGCGCATTTGTTTATCAGTTTCATTTACACAAACACCGAATTTTAGCAATAGCATCGGTGCACTCTCTATGGTACTGGGCGGCACCCATAAGTGCTGTTAACCCGTAGTTGTCATGGGTATATATCATTTTTTGAACCAGCAAAGAAACGACACCAGGTAATTCAATTGGCTCAAATTTTTTCGGCTTGAAAAGGAAGTATACTTCTTCTGTGCAAGGTATATCGTGTAACATGTATGGAATATATCTTTCAAAATCAGAATCGCCAAAAATAATTTGCATGAGAATAGTTCGCCCGTGTTTTAAATCCATATTTGGTTTTGCTCCATTGTCTACAAGATAAGTCAATCCGTCTTCAAATAAAGTCCATGCTGCAATACTTATGGGTGATATTAACTCTTTAAACACAAAATTGACGTTAGCACCCGATTTAACAAGCAAAGACACTAAATCTAAATTTTTTGAACAACATGCTGCAAGTAAAGGCGAAGGACCCATTTTATCTTCAAAATTGACTTTTGCTCCATGTTTTATTAACATCTTTGCAACATTGAAATGTTCTCTAAAGCAAGCTGTATATAACGGTGACCTTTCTTCAGTGTCACATTGATTTATATTAGCATCAAGACCGATAAGATATTCAACTACTGCTTTTTTACCCAAACTAGAAGCCCACCAAATAGGTGTTCGACCTTTCCCATCTCGTTCATTTACACTTGCTCCTTTTCCTATTAATAAATTCAGGACTTTTACGTTACCACTTTGTATTGCAGCCCAAAGTACTGTTTTGTCGGGATGGTCTGTGTCATCAACAATGGCTCCTTTTTCAAGCAAATATGAAACAGTATCTGTATTACCAAAATAACAAGCCCACCAAAGTGGAGACCATCCATTATCAATGTCTATCTCAAAATAATCTGAATTGCACGGATAATTAAACATGTCCAGGGGACATTCTTTTTCAAGGTATGCGCCATGGTCTACCAAAATTCTTACTATTTCAGTATATCCCTTTTCACAAGATTCTGCAAGGGGTGTATTTCCAAATTTATCATTAAAGTTTACACGAGCTCCATTTTCTATCAGATATGTTACAATATCAGTGTAGCCGAACCGACAGGCTGCTGTTAAGGGTGTTACATTCCCAAATCAACATACTTATTCAAATCATGATGATTGCAAATACCTTCTTGAAAGAGATATTGTAGAACTTCTGTATTGCCTTTCAAACATGGCACGATGATGAATGTTAACCCCTGTAAAGGACACAAGTTTTCCACGTGTAAATCAGCAGCATATTCCTGTTTGCAAAGAAAACAGAAGGAGTTTGTTTTGAAATCACTATGAAATAAATTTGCACAAAAGCTCACCATTCTTAAATTGCCGCTGAGTAATGATAAAATAAATGTAGAATATCTACTTGAATATAACTCATCTATCACTGTTTTGTCTACATAATCTAGTGTCATTTTGAAGAAATCAATCCAGCCGGCACCTATTAACCAATGCAAAAAACCAGTTTCAGCTGCTGCGAGTAATTGTCTTGCTGTTATTCTTTCGTAAAACATATCTGCTGTATGGGAACGCGTACTCCATTCTCTAAACAAGTCATCTGTATTTTCACAACCTTTCATTTCCACCCTGCGATAATGATCCTTGATCCCCAATTCTAATGGAGAAAATGAATCGATCATACCGCTAAATTTCATAAAAGTATAAAATACTGCTTCAGCATCATTTAGTTCTATTAGATTTTCCACCAGCCGAAACACACTGTGAAATTCTGTATGTATGGTTCCCACTAATTCTTCCTTAAGTGAAATTTCTGCACATTTAACAGAAAAATTTGATCCTAAAAATGCTGAAAGCTCACCTCTTGATTTTAGGTTGTGAAATAACATCGCCTCGAGTTTATAATTAGGAAATAAATGACAGAAAAGGATATTTGGAATGTTATTCTGCTTTAATTCCTTTGCGATTCGCTCCACAAAAACACATTTAAATTGGTCATCAAGCTTGATAACGGTATTGCTATCCCATTTAGATGGCAAAGCGTTTTCTGGAAGAATAAGTCTTGATTCCAATATCCACAACGGAGCAAATGTAATCAATGTATCAAGAGACTGTTTCGCAAAATGACAAGCTAATATTTCAATTAAAATAGTGTGTAATAATTCATAACAGTCATCCTTTTTTAACACAAAACTATTTGTCATGATTTCAAAAGCTTGTTTTATTCTTTTTCTTGACGTTCCTTGGTCCAAAAGACACTCTGCGAATACCACATCAAAGATTTTATCAATATTCTGATCTATTCCTTTAATGAAGTATTCTGGTCGAACTTCGTTGTCAAACATGACACAGAGGATAAGAGCACTGTATTCGTAAGGTGTTTCATGTTGTCTAAGAGCATCTAGTTCTTCTTCATATTCCTTATAAGGAAACTTTAGAAAACGCTCTGGGTTTTCCTTGAATTGCTTGTTGGTCGAAATGAGTCTGCACAACAGAGGAAAACAATCATGCAGATCCAATAAGTATTCTTTAAATAGAAACTCTGTGTTAGTATGTCTTTTATATATTTCTTTCTTCTCTTTGATTGTCATTGAGTAATTCTCAGAGTTTAAGTCAACTTCTTTTCCTTTAAACAGTTGGAGGGCCTTGTAATAGTGTGTTTTGCTGTGTGACAACCTACAAGACACCAGTATTCTTGTTTTCCTGTTTCTTGAAATGCATTGCTGTATGTCACTGTCATATCTTTTCCATTCCTTTGCTAAATAAATATCTATACATTTTGTACCACAAGGATCCTCTATAATAAATAATTGACATGTACTGTCGTCAAAATATTGTAAAAGTTCATGTGGCATTTTTATTGGCACAACGTGAAAACCAATGTTTTGCAAAAGTAGAGCTACATGATGTAAAATTGCAGACTTTCCTGTACCGGAATTTCCAACCACAGACACACATTTCTCAGTTCGAATCAAATTCAAAACTTCTTTAGATGCTCTTGTTTCACAGAATTTTGTGTCCTCAAGTCTCCACAATTCTAGTTTGCCACTGATTTGCTCTAGAAAAATATTAAAATCAAGTATTTTTTGCGCTCGAAAAGACAATGTTTCAATTGCCCTTTTCCTCAAACAAATACAAGACTAAGATTATGATAAGTTAAACAGGCTTATATATTTTTGAAAACATACTTTATAGAAAGGATTAACTTTCATAAAATTTTGTTTTGGTTGCGTAGAAATAATTGCAACAAAATCGAACAAAGCTGATGTTCCAGTAAGAGGAACATACCCCTGTGTATCAAGTTAAGTAACAGACCACACCAAAAATATATTCAGTTGGCAATTCAAAAATATGAAAAAATAATAATTTTTACCTTTGATATTTCGTGGTATTGTATCATTTTGCTGAAATATTAGTTGCCTCATTTTCAAAAGAATTTCGTTGTCTTTTAGTTCAAATTGCAACGTTTTTAATGTCCTGGCCTCAAGCAGTTGTTCATTGCCCCCTAATCTGCCAATTGCCTGTGCAAATAAAAGAGGATATAAATTATAGACATAATTCAAAAAAGCAAAAAAAAAAAAAAATCAAATCTTGAAATGATACACATGTAAAGAGATGTTTTAATATATGTTACTTTACAATAAATAACGTACATTTTCAATGTTAGCCCAGTAATCATTGAATTCCATTTCTGATATCTTTGCATTCTTTGAATGTGCTACAATGTTTCTGTAATACTTCATTCTAGCAAGGTCTGCCCCAACACTTTTGTCTGACTGTGAAGGCAACTTGCCGTATCCAGTGACGGGAGCAGGAACATTCGTCATATACCGTAAAAGGAGAATCAGCGTAGTGACGTCAAACTGCCTTGATCTTACGTACCCTTGTTTAAAAAAACAATACTGCAAGTCTCTTTGTTAGAGATGAAAATGCAATTAAAAATTATAATTATGATTTGTTTATGTAAAATAGCATATAAAACATAAATAAAATAAAACACAAAAAGTTTCTAGCTGTAGTTTTGAAGATCTCGACTTTAAGTTTTTCGGAATAAAATTTCAAAACATAAGAATATCCTTATTTTAGTAAGAATGACAACACTGGAAAATGGTAAAGTATTGTGTTATTCTTGTAGAAAGAGTATTTTTTTTTGAAAAGTTTGACAGACGGACAACGAGATATGACTTACAAATACATACGAACTACTCCAATTGGGCTGAGAGAGAATTGATTACTTCAACAACAAAAATTATTCTTTTGCCAAACAAACTTACCTGATGATGGGTACAATATATTCCATTGTTGAGTAGAAATGACTCTTCCTTTTATTGCTAAGAGTTTAGTTTTATTTAATGCAAGATCTGATATAAGGTCTAATGGAGGATGCTTGGAATCAAAGAATGTTCTAACTGCTATTAGTCCTCTTCGAAAAATCAGGAACGATAATCGGAAAAAATTCATTTCTCTGGTAGAAATAGGAAGCGAAGAAGAAATTGGATGTGCAGCAGTTTGAATTGTAGCAGTGATGTCAGCATGCCCTAAATTTGTCGTTTCTGTAGTATTCGGTAATAGTGATGCAGTTGTTCCAAAACTAGGTTGTAATGATGAAGATGTTTGGGGCATTGTTATCACAACTGGGTCCTCAATTTGTGTATTTAAAGTAGATGATGGTGTCTGACTTTGCATTGTTGGTTCAACTAGTGAGCTATCAATCATCGATTCATCTGTTCCCTGGAAACAATAATGCTGGTACCGGTGGTCCTATTGCGTTACTAACAGTAGTTGGAATCTTTTGTAACTTCAGTCTTGCATCAAAAGTTGAATTTATACCCTCTGTTCCTGAAATATAGGAATCTAGAGTGTTTGTTTGGAGATTTGGTGAAACTTGTGTCTTTGGTAATAACAGTGGCGGTGTCGCACTTGCAAGCTTTAAATCGTTTGGATGCTTAATGCTGGCAGTATCTTCTGATTCTGGTAAATTATTCTCCTCAAGAGTCTGAATTGACGGTTTAGGCATTGAATATGCAGATAAAAGTGGAATGTCGGTGGAGCATCTTGAATATATGACTGAGGTTGATTGTGTTGGTGTCGTAAGTTCTTCAGAATTGCTACATTTTTCGACATTTTTTGCAACCTCATTTGTCGATGATTGACACGACTCTTCTAATATATTGTTTGTTGACGTATCACTAGCGCCTTTTTTATTTTGAACACTTTCACTTTCCATATTTTCAAATTCTAAAAAAAATACAAACAAATATATTTTTTCTTTCCGTTTTTTTACAAACTCAAAATACTATTCCTATTTGGATATTTTACTTGAAAAGACGTTAAAGGTAATTTAATAAGAAAGCTCTATGATAAACGTGGTGACTTTACCTTTCCTATCGTCAACTTTCCTTACTTATGCAGCAATATACTTTAAGGGGGATGTACAAGCTATATTGGATCTAGTCTGGTGTAAAATAAGAAATACCAAGAATGCGCTTAATACTCTACTAAACTAGCCCAAAGTTACTCAAAGTGCTAATGCACTAATTACCTACTGTTAGAGACCAAAATTAGTTAACAATTAAGTTTATTTTGTTTTAATTAGGAGGAAATTATTCATGTCAGAACTGCGCAGCTACAGCATTTATAGATGATAAATGCATTGAAAATGGTGTTAGTTTGATTCATTGATAATATGGCTACAACCATTTGTTTCGCTTTTTTCTTGTCATTATCCATAATTCTTGAAAATTTGATTTTTCATATAGGTGTCTTCCTGAGGCAATGTGTTTATTTCGTCCGCCATTCCTCTGTCACACAAAGTTCGAATCACATTGATTTTAGAATAAATGCGACCATAATAACATCAAGACAAGAAATCACTAAGTAATAATCATTAGGTTATATTACTTACTACTTTTATTTGTTGCATCGCATCATCTGATTAATGAAAAAACGCGATTTTAACCCCATTCCAGCAAATCGGGAAAAACTGTTCTGTGTACAGTTCGAGTTTCCTCATTAAAATTATTCCACTGAGCACGTGGTTGGCATGTGCATATATCTGCTGTGGATAGATCCGTTTATTACCATGATTATATTTAATTTTTCATGGAACAAGTCTTGATAATTTGTTGGTTTCTTTAAAACTCAAGAAAAAAAAGATAAAAATGTCCTAAACATATGTGTTTACGACGGGTCTTTTTTCTGTGGCGATAGAAGTTATTTTCAAATGGGGTACTGCAAGGAGGATGCTTAGCATTTAATTTGAAAATGTTAAACAATATGCAGTGCATGAAGAACAAATTGTAATAACATGTCTTACATTCTAAAATTGGTACATATGTATATTTTGTTTAGAAGTTAGATAGAAAAAATAGGCAGTTATAGGATTTCCTTCAGGCACCTCACATAAACAGCTAGATTGTTTGCAATGACCAACACATTGTATGGAGTAATGTTTGGACATAAAAACGCATCATGTCTCATTATGTTGACAACGTTGTAAGCTCTCGCTCATTGAACATTTGAACATACGAAGCTTGATAAAATATATTGAGTTGTTTCTTTGAAATTTAGAAACGAGTACAATGTTTGCAAAGAAAGGTCCATCGCATATGCTATGTCTATCATCGCAAAAAAAGTGAAGAGCCGCACCCCCCCCCTCCCCCCGAAAATCCTATGTTTGTTTTTCAAAATAGTGAAAAAGATTCAAAAAATTTGCATTGCTAAGAACGTGATGGAATATGTACTAGCCTTATAAGACCACTTGTTATAAAAATATTTGGTTGCCCTCTCTCCCGATCTACTGCCTGGAAATGGCCCGACTCATCCCATTACACGATATTTTTTTTTCTTTTTCTTCCGCCAACAATTATGTTTAAATTTTAAGGAATTTCTTTCTCACCTATAAATACGGACCCAATATAAATTTTTCCCTGAGTTGGGAGGACCACCAAACGTCATTTTAAAGATGGTATAAAATATTTATGTTGATTTTTTTCTTTACTTTGTAAAATTTTAATTTTGACAATATGGGCTAATAGAATTTTCGTCACAAGTACCTGCATGACGTCATTTTCAGATTGTAACATCACAAACAAGGAGAAAAACTTCAGCATATGCTATTTATAGAACTTGTGTTTGGCTATCTTTCTAATCTGAATTGTGGTTTTGTAGATATAGAGATAGTTCGAACTTTTTGATCACCCCTGGTACTAGTAGGTATTAAAACAAGGTCATTCATATCGATTATATGTGTCTTATTTCTTTATGTTTCATTAGTGATAATTAAAAGTTTGATAGATAATATAAGTTATCTATGGCAAACTTACAAACTCTTAATTTTTAACTTTGATAGTGCTCATTTTCCCTTACCTGGAATCAAAGAGTTTAAGATTTTTTTTATATCAATACGTACACTTTTTAACAACTGTTCAATAATAATACTAAATAAATTATTTCAAGCCACACTATAACACCTTTCTTTTTTAAAAGTGTTCATATTATTTGAAATATTTTGAAACTGTAATTCTCTTCTACATTTAAAGATTGTTATGTCCCTCCATATTAAGAAGAGGTCTGGAAAACAAAATTCTGTGCTAAAAATAGAACACGTGCTGCTATCCATGAACTACTTTCATGGTTCTTTGCACTCTTTTTGAAGACAACGGTACCTTGTTTTGAACTTGAAATTATCATTTTAAAGTGCAAAATTTAGACAATTTCTCAACAAATGGTTGTAGAGAGAACATTATTGCACCGTTTGCATATTTTTTTGGATTTTTTAAGGCTCTGCTGAATTCTGTAGCTGCGCAGTTCTAAAGAGCATATCAAAAGCATTTTTCTGTAAAAGTATAGATTTTATATACACAACATGCATTCAGTTATGCATATTTATTGTATCTTTATCATTGGGACTTAAAATTTGATCAAAATATAATGTATTTTAGCCATTTGAAAAAAATGTTTACATTTTGTTCTCACTGCACTAAAGGTGGCCGGACATCCCCCTTAATCACATACAAACGGAGTTTATATATCTCAGTTGATTCGATACACAAGGGCATGCTCTATGTATGAACAATTTCTAAAACGAGGTAAATTATTGACAAGCAAGTTGATAAAACAAGAATATCAGCAGTATCGTTTAAAGTCATAATCTCGTAAGTTCTACATGGTCGATACAATTATCTTGTCAGCAAATACAATTTATCATTGAGTCAAATGCCGTTTATACACTGAATTGAGGACGGATTCTTCTGTTGTTTCCCGATCATGACAAGGAGAAGGCGGCGGGTATGATCGATCGGCAGGGGATGCTCACTCCTCCATGGCACCTGATCCCACCTCTGATGTTTTGGAGGTCCGTGTTTGCTCTGCTCCTATTTTGTATTGATTAATGGACTTTTGATCTTGAATACTGTTCGTTATTTCCATATATTTCATTCTAAGTGCTTCAATATTTTCAAACTTAATAAATAATTCTGTTTTTCACAGTATATAACACACCAAAAGGCACCTTAAACCCCCCCCCCCCTAACACAACTGTGTTACCAGCCCCCTCCTACTCCGTTGCCATGGGATAATAAATATAAATGCATACAAATCAAAAGGATTGATTTTTTAAAGATTCGTTTGTATTTGATTTCTATCTATAAAACGACCCTGTATACTAACAGTAGCAAGAAAAATGTCTCCGTCGCTAGAGTAGAGTGCATAAATATTGAAGAGATTAAAAACCTTTCTATTGATTATTTAAATGCATACAGCTATTTTTATTACAGTGTATAGATGGTACACAGTATTTGCTACCTTTAATTCTTCCATTTCTAAGAGAGGAATAGATATTTATTTATGTCTGAGAATATTAAAAGTGCTCTGTTATATAATAAATACTACTTAATAACTATTCAATGCATTAAACTTCTAGCCTTAGTTACACTTTATTAATGATGCCATAAATACACTATATTAAATCATGCGGGAATTAACATTAACAGCTAAAGAACTGCATATTTCCTTACTGAGAATATAAACAATATTTCAAATATCAAAATAAAAAAGCAATAATTTTAAGACTTTGTCCTCGGAAAATAAAGGATGGAAGACTGAAAGACGTTTCAAAACAAAATTTTCACTATTGTAAACGTTTTAGTCTCAAAAATCCAATGTATGTACATTGTATTTAATATTCTGCTTATATTCTAGTACTATGTTTAATGGTGAGAAATTATGAAGACTTACCTTACACGCCTATTACCCCATACATTTTGCTGTACAACGACTCGTGGGACCTTTTCATATTCGGCTTACTTAGAGAAATATCAATGCTAAAACAGGAAGGTTTATAACGATTTTTTTCGGGCTTCGTTCATGTTAAAGCTTTTCATTATCATTACGTAATTGTTTATTTTATAGACCGGCAACCATGGTGACTATTCGTTTATCTTATCTTAAGGTCAAGATCTAGTAAACGACTTTAAACTAATTTTTTCATGCTAGATCCATTATGACGTCATAATCAATTTCAACTTTCTTTTTCCCGTACTTTATTTAGCAGAATTATGTAGAAAAAAGGGTATTATCATGACATTCCATTTGAAATCATATGAAAAGTAAACCGTATACCTTTATTAAATTTGATATCGTTTTAAAGAAGAGGCCACAAACATACTAATTACAGTTTTCTGAGAGACTGTAGGCAATCTGGATACATTTCCGCTATCGAAAATGAAAAAAACTCCCATATTCATGACTGGTTTTCTTATTTTTTCATTGAAAATGATAGTTTAAAATACAGTTTTTAATCTTGTTTACCTACAAATTATGCCCCGAAACCCCTTACTAGGCCAAGCTAACGTTTTAAAGCATCAATAAAGGAATTTATTTCTCAAATTTAATAAATCTGTAGGCACCTTTTATTTTCTATATCTTGACCTTAAAAAGCTACATTTTTACACTGTCAGTATTTTCTTCATAATCTTGATACCGACTTTAGCAACTGAACTATGTACACTTGAAAGCTTAATTTTAATCATGTAACGTGAAGCACATTAAAGTAGAAGTATTAGCTGGACCGAGTATTATATGAACTCTATTGATTACTGCTATTGACAGGCAAAATAACAGTTTGGATACATTCACAACGCTCTTGAAAAAAAAAACATAGAAAAGCTCGGAAAGTATACAAATGTTTAGTGGCTTGTTCTTTTAAATTAATAGAATAATGATAAATATACATTAATATTTACTTATGATATAGAAAATAGATTCACAAATGAGAAAAGTTACCTTCAAATATTTAAATTTTAAGGAAACTGAATATCAAGTCACTAATAAGGAAGGAAAAGGATAGGACGACAACCAAATACGAAACATGTAAAATAAACTTGCTGGAGAACCTTAAACGGAAACGATCCCTCCTCTTATTGTCAATGCGGCTGTTTAATCGTGAAATTAAACACCGTACATACAAGCGTAGACTTTTCGTTTAGGGATTTTATTTCAATGTATGACCTATTCAAATACGACGTATATTTACCTCATGAAAGAGATAATATACAAATTTTTTTTTTTCTAACGAAGAACATGTTTGGCCTTTTTCCAAGTACAATAGCGACTTTTATTTATATTTAGTTTATGTATTTTTTTTAAAATGAAATTCAAACAAAAATAAATATATACAAAGGAGGTTCAGTCCTGCATCGTTGACCTATACTTGTATATACAATATTTTTATATTTTTTATTTTTAAAAAGGAAAATAACGATTACAATGATTGTCTGTGAAATAAACTACAAAAATAAAAATATAAAACTTCGATTATTTTGAAATGTTATTCTATATACGGCTGTTTAGTGTTCCTTTGATACTCAGTATTTTAGGAAGAATATTATAGGACCCATTGATAGAATATTTTTTTATGAAAGGGACATTTAACGACCATAGAATCAACTAAATGCTTGTTTGTGGTCAGTTAAACATCTACATATATGTGAAATAAATGTATCAGTATGTGTTGACCTTAACTAGGATATGTCGGATCGACATATGAATGGCAGGACTGCCTCAATATACTAGCTTCGAAATGTCGTACACGTATTGAAGGCCGCAGGAAATGCTTTCTTATTCTCGTGTGGATGTTTTTGAATAAATTCTGCTCCATAGTAATATAAAATTGGCGAATAATATAACGGGGCATATATTTAGTGCTCATTGCAATACTTACAGAATATAGCAAACCCACCTTTGATGGTAAAAATATTGAAGACCGAATTGTGATTTTGAATAATTGAAACCTTATTTAAGAAATAAACAACAATGTTAAAAAGTTCTATGGGAAATGAACTTTTAGTTGGTCACGTGATCAAATCCTGTGAAGCCCGAAGGGCTTCTCGGTAGATTTAATCACGTACCAACTAAAAGTTCATTTCCCAGTGAACTTTTTACCTCTGACCCCCAAATGAAATTCACACAGAATTGAACGTATTTTTTCTTCAATAGGTTCATCTAAGAAAGATATTTGCAAATGTAAATATAAGAAAGTGAACTTTTATGATAAAGTTGGTCTTTTACAAATTCATGCTGCTCACAGGATTGGTACCGGGGTATTTTGGTTTCATGTTTTTTACCACCTTGTTTAACTGCGATATAACAATATTTGTTGATTTTCTAAATTTATCTGAATAATGTGCCGCATGAAAAGCTTGTCTTTCCAGATGTAGATTGCAAACCATATTTCATATTGTCTTATGACAGCCTTTGTATTGAAGCACATTTTACCTCAACGTAAGTCATCAGATTGCAGATGAAATGCTGTGGTTTTTAAAACGAACTTGTCAACAAATACAACCCATCATCAAGCCCAGAGATGACCTTTTTCATACAAGTTATTTACTGATGTTTATTCGATTTTTTTTTAATTCCGTGTATCAGTTCATCATAAGGAACACTCGGCAGATGTGACTGGTCAACCGCAGATGTTTCTATTATTCATTTTTATTATTTTATTTATTGTTTTTATTATCTATTTCCTTACTACATCTCATTTCGGTTTGCTCTGTTCCAGATTTGTATGGTTTAAAGGAACTTGGACACAGATTTGAAGTTAATATTTTCTGTATAATATCATGAATTATATATTTCAAAAGCATTTCAGACAAAAATTAATTGAAAATCTTTTTTTTTTCATTTAAAAGTTATTAAAACTTCAAATTTTTTGGCAGGTTTGATTGACACATCCTTGCACCTTCACAAATTTTAACTTTAATCCTTCGGTAAAGTGGCAATCTTTTTGTGTATTAATGAGAAATATTAAATCTTTAACATGTTTAATCCGGAAAAATATTTTTTTTTCAGAGTAGAAATGTTACAAAGCAAAATTCCTTCACAAGTACCGTCATTCCGAACTAAGTCTTGTGTGCAAATCGATCACACTCCTGTTATGTACACAGTTTCACCGGATGCGGTCAACCGTCAAAGTCTGCTCACCACAACTGCAAGGACTGAGAATATATTGTGCGTTTGTTTTGTTTTCGAACATGTCTACTCTGATTTTTCTGGATTATAGTATTAATATTTTTCATTTATACACAACAAGATTGCCACTTTCCCTAAGTATTAAGAGTAAACTTAGAATTTGTGAAAGTGCAAGGATGTGCCAATCAAACCCGTCAAAAAAAGTTTTGATAACTTTTAAATGAAATAAGATTTTTAATTAATTTTTATGTGAAATGCTATTAAAATATATAAGTCGTAATATTATACAGAAAAAATTACCCCCAAATCTGTGTCCAAGTACCTTTAAATGGACTTGAGCTTGATAACTTATCGTTATCCTCGTATTTCGTTTCATTTTTGAGTAGTAAGAGTGCTTACTTAGATATCGAATTTCTGTATAAAATGGCACGAGGTGTTCGATAATTATCAGTTCTTAAATAGTATTTCTTGAATTTATAAAAATTAAATCATTCGTTAAATTCTTAATTTATTGCCATTTACCGTATTTTACATAACTTATTGAATGTCCCTCTCACTATTTGTGTCTTTTCATCATTACAGTCTTCTGAAGCGCTTCAAAGCTATCTGTCCAGTACAGCCATACCGGGTACTCAGGACCAATCAGAGCCGACTGTGTATACAGACCGTTCAGGTTTGACCTGAGACAGAGGTCGTACCACCAGGCTCCTCGGTAAGTATTGGCACAGTCATCGTCATAGTCGCCCCCGTCGTTATCCTCATCTTTTGTGCTGAATTTCATACCATTGTGATAAGCCCAACTGTCACCTGTATAAGAGATCATGAATTACATTAAACTTTAAGGCTTAAAATAAAAATAAATTATTTACTGCATTTATCAAAAACTGATTGATGCATTTGATGCTTTTAACATTTTTTTTCATAAATAAAAAACCCCATCCCAATCATTACATTATAAGGGGAATATTTATTTATAAAAAACTCAAAAAATTCAAAAACGTCAAAATCTTGTGTGTTCGTGTCCTTGGCCTGCACTTTTGTAGAAATCATCCATAGTTATCAATTGCGACCCGGTATTAGCAGACAGACATGTACTATGGTATTTATATAAAACTATAAAACAGGATAATATAAAGCAGAATTTATTTACAAACTTATATGCAATAAGAAGAAAATTCTTGCTGTGGCTTCTTCATATTTCATTTTCTGATTATCATTAGTAAATAGCAGAAAATATTTCAAATGTGCTAATTTAAAGTTTACAGATGTATAAAAATTCTTAGTACACCTTAACATTTAGAACTTAATTGGCTCATTTTATCTGGAGCCTGTAGGAATTTTGCTAAAAATAAATTATTCTGTTCAATACGTTTCCTGAACGAAAAGTCCTTAAGTACTATCCCAAGCATATGATAAACTTAGCCAGGGATTTATAACACAAAATATTCCTCTTTTAAAATTACATATCCTCTCTGAAACATTACTCACTTGCTGTTCCGCTGTATCCAGATACTGTTAAAGTGTATTTATTTTTTTCATCTCTGATGTAAAATGTGGAGTATTCCGCATAAGCCTGTTCTCCATTAAATCTCCGGAGGTCTACTCGTAGCTCTTGGTTTTGATCTCTTGTTAAAGCATGGATTGCGTCATTTCCTGAATTTGGTTTAATATTAAAGTGCATATCTATATACATGTGCCTAAACACAAAAAGATCATTGAATGATTTGCATGCACGGAATACTCACTCAATCGTGGCACCTGATCCCACTTCTGATGTTTTGTAGGTCCGCGGTTTGCTCTGCTCCAATTTTATATTGTTTATTAGACTTTGAGCTTAAAAACTTTTCTTTTTTTCTCCATATATTTCAGTGCATATTTAAAGTATATCATAGACTTTTAAGTTTTATGTGGTCAACTGTGTACCCTTTTTTTTTTATATTTTTGTATCTACAATAACAACCTTCCCATAAAACTCGAAATAACACATCGAAGTTTTTCGTGTAATTAATACCATTTAACTGAAAAGTATAACGAGAAAAATATTATTTAAATTAAATTATTTAATTAAAGATTTTTTCTTTCCATATCAAACTAAAGACTTTCATTAACATTAACATTTTCCCAATTATAAAAGTTTTTTAGCTCACCTGAGCCGAAGGCTCAAGTGAGCTTTTCTGATCAAAATTTGTCCGTTGTCTGTTGTCGTTGTCGTCGTTGTCGTCGTCGTCGTTGTCGTAAACTTTTCACATTTTCATCTTCTTCTCAAGAACCACTGGGCCAATTTCAACCAAACTTGGCACAAAGTATTCTTGGGTAAAGGGGATTCAAGTTTGTTCAAATGAAGGGCCACGCCCTTTTCCAAGGGGAGATAATCATGAATTTGTTAAAAATTAATGGCATTTTTAAAAAATCTTCTTCTCCAGAACCGCTGGGCCAGGAAAGATGAAACTCATTTGGAATCATCCTCAGGTAGTGTATATTCAAGTTTGTTCAAATCATGACCCCCGGGGCAAGGGTGGCGCCAAAATGGCCGACCCAAGTTTTACATAGGAATATATAGGAAAAATCTTTAAAAATCTTCTTCTCAAGAACCACTAGGACAGGAAAGATGAAACTCATGTGGAAACATCCTCAGGTAGTGTAGATTCAAGTTTGTTCAAATCATGACCCCCGGGGCAAGGGTGGGGCCAAAATGGCCGACCCAAATTTAACATAGGAATATATAGGAAAAATCTTTAAAAATCTTCTTCTCCAGAACCACTGGACTAGGAAAAATGAAACTCAAGTGGAATCATCATCAGATAGTGTAGATTCAAGTTTGTTCAAATCATGACCCCCGGGGCAAGGATGGGGCCAAAATGGCCGACCCAAGTTTTACAAAGGAATATATAGGAAAAATCTTTAAAAATCTTCTTCTCCAGAACCATTGGGCCAGGAAAGATGAAACTCATGTGGAATCATCCTCAGGTAGTGTATATTCAAGTTTGTTCAAATCATGACCCCTGGGGCAAGGATGGGGCCAAAATGGCCGACCCAAGTTTTACATAGGAATATATAAGAAAAATCTTTAAAAATCTTCATCTCAAGAACCACTAAAACAGGAATCATCCTGAGGTAGTGGAATCATCCTGAGGTAGTGTAGATTCAAGTTTGTACAAATCATGACCCCTGGGGCAAGGGTGAGGCCAAAATGGCTGACCTAAGTTTTTCATAGAAATATATAAGAAAAATCTTTAAAAAAATCTTTTTCTCAAGAACCACTTGGCCAGGAAAGATGAAACTTATGTGGAATCATCCTCAGGTAGTGTAGATTCAAGTTTGTTCAAATCATGACCCCAGGGACAAGAATGGGGCCAAAATGGCCGACCAAAGTTTTACATAGGAATATATAGGAAAAATCTTTAAAAATCTTCTTCTCCAGAACCACTGGGCCAGGAAAGATGAAACTCATGTGGAATCATCCTTAGGTAGTGTAGATTCAAGTTTGTTCAAATCATGACCCCTGGGGCAAGGATGGGGCCAAAATGACCGACCCAAGTTTTACATAGGAATATATAGGAAATATCTTTAAAAATCCTTCTCAGTTACCAGTGGGCCAGGAAAGATGAAACTGATAGGGAAGCCATCCTCAGGTAGTGTAGACTCAAGTTTTTCAAATCATGACCCCCGGCCCTGGGGATAGGGTGGGGCCAAAATGGCCGACCCAAGTGTTACATAGGGATATATAGGGAAACCTTTTAAAATCTTCTTTTCAAATCTTCTTCAAAGCTATGATTAGTGATACCCGGGGTATTTATATGGAATCATCTTCAGGTAGTGTAGATTCTAGTTTGTTCAAATGATGAACGCCTGGAAGGGGGGGGGGAGTAAATTCAAGTCCGATGTGCTTAGGTGAGCACTGTGGCCCCTGGGCCTCTTGTTTGTATGTATAATTCTGAATTGATGAAAGGGAATCAAAACAAAAAGCGGCTGATTAATTTATACTCAATTCTTTCTGTTCATTCTCTAAATAGGGCCTAAAAGGCTATTATACTATATCATTATTCATTCCAAGTGAATTCGATATAAAAGATGCCGTATAATCTGCCCCATATATATTTAGATATTAATTGAAGATAGGGATAAATGGGACACTTAATGTCAAAAGTGGATGAGCAAAGTTTCAACAATAAAACAATGACCAAATACAATGTACCAAATTTCTACACGAGGAATTAACATGATTTCAATCTTAAAGTCGAGGCATGTAACTGACAAAAGAGTTTAAGAGATTTTTCTTGACTTTATCAGCCTAGATAAAGGCATTTTTTTGTTTTTTGCAAATTACAAGCAAAATTTCAATTGAATCAAACCAATAGCTAGACAATATGTGAGAAAAAAAAGATTTAAAGAGTACATGTATTTTACATTTAATTACCCATGTTTGATCCTTATTTTTGATTTTCATTGAATTATTAAAGTTCTACGGGAATAAAGAATACAATGATACCTATCCAGTAGTCTTTGGATGCATTCCCAAATTCGTGTTTGTACTCTTTCCATGTCCTGAAAAAGTCAACATCGCCATCCTCTCGTTTCTGAATTACCTACGAAAACATTCATTGACTTATTAAGTGTCTTTTAAAAATGGAAAAAAAAATATATATATATATATTGAAGGGAACCCTCTATCCTACATCTTGTATACATTTTCGGACTAGGCCTTTAGTTACTAGTTCGTCATCTTTTAAATGGGATTTTTCAAAGATTTTTATTTTGCATATATATTTTTCGAGATCGATAATTGTTTCGTTTTTTTCCCCACCTTCTTCAGATATATATATATAATGAAACGATTTTTAATTTTTAAAAAGATTTTTTTTAGATGATGAGCATTTTTTACAGTCTTACAATAATTACAACAAATTATATTGACATTCATAACCGAATTATTATAAAAAGTGTGATCAATAGTGTAAGAGCAATTAAAAAAATAATACAATGTAATAACAGTACTCACTGTCCAGCCGCCTTCATTGGTCGTCATGTCACAGAAAACTTCTCTTCTGGTGTCGGCGTAAATAATATAAATCCCATCTTGGTACTTCCTGATCGGGTTTCTTTTCAAGATATCCAAACAGTCCTTGTATATTTTTTCTATTTAATTAAATGAAACCATAAGTCACTGATGGAAAACGTAACCCCACCCCCTGTTGATTCCTCTCTTGTTTTTTATGTTCACGGACCTGCATAGTTTGAAATTCTACGATCACTTATTTCAGAACTAAATACAATCATTTTTAATCCTTCATTTTTGCTATGAAACGTCCTACTAATCTCTTTGATTCATTATGAAAATTCCAAACTTCGGATGCCTACTTTAGAACAGATGTATGTTATGCACATATACATGTATCTAAAAACAAAGAATTGTACTGGAGTGCAAAACATGAGTGTTCCAAGAAACTCATGTGTCCTTAAACATCATGAAAGACATTAATCAAACTAAATGAAAGTTATCTGTCTTTTTTAAATCTTAATCTTTTGCAAGGTTTCGGTTGTTTCAGCTAATATTGTAGTAAACAATTTAATTCACCCCCTATCGCCCACGTAGAGCAGTGTTAGATGGTTTGTTCTAGAGTCGAGAGTGAGGAGTTGATCCTTACATGGCAGGTTCGAATACCCCTGTGCGACGTGATGACAGATCTTATGGATGAGACTGTGTAAACCAAGTAAATATGGGCAGGAAAAAGACCCCTCACTGCTTAAAGCCCTTATTACCTAAACAGATATAAAATTTCAGTCTTCTACTGCAGGAAGCTTTGGTGTCTAAATATGATTGAAAAATTCGTGAAGGGGCCATTTAGAAAGCAGAGAAACATTTCAGAACCAAAAAAATACGTCTTAGTGTAATATGGAGACATCCATTCTTTTTCTTAAGCAAAAAACACAAAGAGGATAATGTATATGGATATTGGTTCACAAAATAATTTGAATGGAGAAAACAAAATAAACAAAAATATGTAATTGAAAGAAATTAGTGGTATCTTAGAAGAAAAAAAGTTAATAAATTGAAGATGAAAGCTTCAACAAAACTTAAAATTTAGCCTACTGAATTTTTGAATCACCACCTTCACAAGCTTTGATTGACATTATTTAACCTAAATTATTTTACCTTCCAAAACTGGTACACAATTTCCATGAATACAGACGGCATCCTCAGTACATGAATGGTCTAGGCATTCATCCACAAGATGCTGAAAATATATAATCTTAGAGTAGAGTTTCTGTAAGTTGTATCAGCAATTCACTTCATTTATTAAAGTGTTTCTAGACTTTTACTTACCTTTGGGAAATTTTCCCGGTCAACATGAATGGTGATGTCTTCTGGCAATAGCTGACTGCCATTCTGTCTCGAAAATCTTGTGTTAAGACTGCATGCCTTTCTTTCTCGTATCCAATCCACTGACAAACATAATGTAAACTTGTAACAAACCATCATGCACATTCCCATGCCAGCATTGGTCAAAAGGTTAAACCCAGGCACTGAGGAATTTTCAAAATTGCTAATTAACAAAGTTTTTAAGTCGAAGCACTGAGAAAAGCATGTCCTTAACAAAATCAGGACTTGTCCACTGAGGTACAAAATGATAACAAGAGGAACTGTTGCAAGTCCCATCTCGACATATTTCCCCTTTTTATTTAATGAAAAAGCTATCGGTAGTTACTATCAAACAAATATTCTGGGTTTTTTTACACTACGCAAATTTGATGTATGTTTCTACCGTTCAATACGTCTTTGATTGATAAGTTAGAATGTGATGAGTTAATCGATTTTTCAGGTTACTTTCGTTTGATAAAGAAGATTCATGAGTGAACAAGGCGGGCGAAGTGCCTATAGTGCCACTAAAAGTGAAAAAATAAATCTCAATTAAATATTAAAATTAATAATATTAAAATTTTCTGTGATATTTCATCTAACTTTGAAGTATACTTGATGAAAAAAACTTTACAATTTACAAAAATTTCACAAAAACTGTAATTATTTGTCTATGAAATAGTATTCACACACTAAAAATAACAAAAATTATTCTCTCATATTTAACAAAATTTTTCGATATGAATGGGTCTTCGGTTCAGTTTCTTTAAATTAAACCTATAAGGTTGCAAAAAAATGATTTTTTTTTGGTTTCAAAAACATGAAGCAGCAATCCATTATACCCTTAAAGACGAAACATTCATATCTTTCCGAGAAAAACTTGAAGTCCATTAAGTCACGTGCCATATCACAAACCTTAGTGTTTAGCTTATAAGGCATAAAGCAGAATGTTAATTCGAACTTTTATTGATAGGGTTCGATTTCAATAATCCTTTTTTTAAATAAAAGAATAAATTTCGAGATTTTTTTTTCGGAAAATTTTTGTTTATCATCATTTCATAAATTTTAATTGTGAGGACTTTATTTTAATGCATGATTCAGAAAGAAGATGGATGAATAAGGCGGTCGAAGTGCCCATAGTGCGACAGATAAGAAGTGAAAAATTTAATCTCAATTATATCCAAATTTTATTTGATATTTCATCTTATATTAAAGTATACTTATGCAAAATCACTACAGTTTACAAAAATCTCACCAAGAATGAAAATATTTGCCTACAAAAAAGCATACACACAGCAAAAAGAACAAAATCGATCATTTTCTCATACTTTAACAAAAATTTTCAATATGAATGGATCTTCCCTCCATTTTTAAAAGATAATCCTAAAAGTTTGCAATAAAATATACAATTTTTGGTTTACAAAAACATGGAGCGAAGACCCACTATACCTTAAAAGTACACTTTTATGACAAAACAAACGCATCTTTCCGAAAAATACTAAAAGTCCATGAAGTCGCGGGTCATATCACATACATGATTTAAATGTCTGAAATTCTCATGAGCCATACATAGCATAATGGAAAGCGTGTTAGTCTCAAAGCAGTATGATACGTCTGATTTTTATTGCTAGGGTTCGAATCCTAAGAATATCATCTTATATTTTTATAAAAGAAAATTTTTTACGAGTTTTTTTATCTCTCAGAAAAGTTATTTTTTCTCATAATTTTATAAATTTTAATAATGAGAAGTTAATTTAAATACCCAATTCACAAACTGAATATGATTTCTTAATATCCGACGCTATAGGCATTCTGCCCGCTTTGTTCACCCATCTTCTTTGGTGTTGCTTTCAAAAAAGAAAATAAATGTGTTAAGAAAGATGTGAATACAAAAAGGGGAGATTTTTCATGATTATTCAATCTGACAATGTGATTGGAACATAGTGCTTATTGCATTTGTCCAAACGTAGGGTGCAAGTAAGAAATTTAATAAGTCTCGATTTATTTTGAAAAAAAAGACTCAAAGACTTCTCTTTTGGTGATATTTTTTGATGTAATATTTTAAATATTTTTTGAGTTACTCTTTGGCGAACTAGTCAAGCACTTTGTTGTAAATCACGTCTCATGTGTACAAATTGAAGAAACTAAAAAAAAACATGTCTCCACTGTATCTTTTTTACTTTAAATCAATATAAATATATTCATGCAGTGCTGTAAGCAACCTTTGTAGAGAAACCTTCTCCAAAGAATATAAGTACCAACTGTCTCTTTCTGTGAGATCTCTTAAAATACCGGGTATATTAATATTTACATCAATATCGTTTAAATTTAAATACTAAGCAAGGCACATGTATGTGACAAAAACTAAGTTATAAAAACAACACAGTATCTTCTTCATCCATCTTGTTTCGGCTAGCTACATGATTATCCAGATTGTCTAATTAAGGTCTTCCGTTTCCAACGGAAGACCTTATTGTTTTCGTTCGGTTTCTTTTTCCCTATTATTCTTTTTTTTTCTTACCGATTTTTGTGCACGCATGTTCTCGGAAACGGCTTGGTCGATTTTCACGAAACTTTCAGATCTGATAGATATTGGTCTGAACCTTATTGGAAATTTTTTATATGTACGTCGTCACTTCCGGTCGTGAGATATGGACGATTTTCTGATTTTCAGAGGGTCAGCTTGTCCAGGCAATCACTAAAAAACAAATGAAGATATTGACTTGAGATTTTCAGTGAAGGTAGAGGAATGATAGTAAAATTGCTTTTTTGAGTCTATATCTTTCCAGCGCAAAAGGATCTGAAGCTCGCCTGGGCTCGAAAAATAGACTCACAAATATCTCGCAAAATTTGATACGTTTTCTTTGATATCTTTGTACCAGTAAATAATTTGTTAAAGGATATATAATAAAATTTGTTCAGAATTACAAGTTCTTTCTTTTGATAAGAAGAAAAAGGGTCTGACCCCTTAAATACGGGGCATAGAGGGGCTAGGACGTTTTCATTTATAACTCTTTATTTATCAAGAATTTGTTATACATTTCTGAAGCAAAAATGTTTATCTTAACAATTTGAAACAATATTTTGTAATCACATGATCATAGGTTACGTAATAAGAGGCCAAATGCTAATTCTTTGATTCTTTATATCTCGAAAAGGAGAAATATTTTGATAAGCGGTATTGAATAAAAGATGTTCAGAATCTTATTCTAACCAATATACAACCATTCAATTTTTGAAAACCGACCACATTAAGGACTTGAAGGGCCAGTCCCTATATAATTCTTTTTTACATAGCTTGACAACGAAGAGAAATTTATGAATATTTATTGAACAAAAAATCTTTCAAATCACGAGCCATATCATTTGATATGAAGACAAATGGTCTGACCCCTTAAACAAGGGATATAGAAGGGCTTAGACTTTCATCTGTTACTATTAGATAATGTTATCTTTATCAAAAGAATTTCATCAAAAGAGAGAAAGCTTGAAATCATTATGTTTAACAAAGATAATAGTCAAAATCATATCTCATCTTATCGAAAAATCGGACGGAAGACCTACTCGTTGCTCGCAACGAGATCTCATCTAGTTATGTATTTTTTTTTTGTTTTCGTTATCATTTTGGATGTAAAATGTGGTGTATTCTGTATATAAGCCTGTTCTCTATAATTATATGTCTACCAGGTCTACGCTAAGTAAAGCCTTTGATTACCTCATTACCTTTTTTTAAAGAAATGAAACAAGTTTGAATAAATATATTAAATAGTAAATTCCAACATTTAGATTCTGGATGAAGTTCGCTACAAAACTGAAGAAGGGCATCCATTTTCACGATAAACTAAATAGTAGAACTTTTAAAAAAAAAGTGGGGAAGGGGGAAGAATTGATGAATTTATATTCATCACTATATAATGACATGTTCTATTTCTACCCTGTCAAAAATTATAACCGTTGTCACGGAAACGAAAAATTTAGTTTGACGCACCATAATTTACTAGTATTTCTTGTTACAGCAAAGTTATAATATTAAATGTATGAACAC